CAACTTTCCGAAACATCTACCGAGTGTAATTGAATCACCGTTCAGCCGCATGAGAATTTAACCATGTTTAGTGTATACAAATAGCTCGCTGAATCAAGTTTTTATGACAGCAGTCGTTTCCCTTTCTGTAAGCCTTAATGTTTAGCCGCTTTATTGTACATGCTAGTTTTAATTATTGAAATTTAAATGAACAACTTTTATGTGCAGTACTCATGTCGTCGCTGCACATTTAAGTGCACTATTCCATGTGGATGGTCAAATGCCACTTGATTTTGTCAGGCTAACAATTTTCTGTTTAATAATGTCAAACAAGCTTATTTTAAAGTTGATAATGTAGTTTCTAATGTTGACTTTTAGGGTTCCTCCTGCCTAACCCTTAAGGACCAAGTGCTAGTACAGTGTGTCATTTGCTGTTCGCGTAATTGTTATAATTGTTTCCCAAATTCTAACATGGAGGACAATGATATGGTTATAAATATTTAGGTAAAGTCAGTGAAGGTGGGGTTTTCGTGAAGGCTTTTGCTTAAATGATACTCTCCTATAGACCGTCATACTTGCATTGTAATACATTAAGTATAGTTTCTGGATGTGTGCCATTTCCAAGTTAAGAGATGCGTAAGATTTAAGACCTTGTTAGAAGTGTATAAATTATTTTGCCTTAGCTTCATAGGAAATCTAATACACTGTCAACTGTACTGACTTGCACAATCTAAATAAACTTATTTGATTTTAACTTTGTCTTTTGAATATTGCTTGGTGTGTTCAACCAAATAAACCATTTGGCAAGATAACGAAGACGCCTATATTGGCTTGTTCTTTGAGCCACCATAAGAGGGCGACATGTACTCATTCATTCGGTTCAGCTGTAGGGAGCGGCTCTACGTGACAAACACCACAGCGTTATTACATTGGAAACAAGGAGACACTCCAGAATATAAAGCATATCATTTAAACCTTTATGGGCTTTCAAAATAGTCAACCGTAGTATTACTACTACTCACTGTTTTGTCCATGTGAATATTTGCTAATTGGATAAAACTGCGTGGTCTAATGACAAAATATCTAGGTGATACCAGAACTATCCACCTTATTTTATTTGGTAATGTGGAAGTAGCCTAAGCTATTTTCTTTGAATGGGCGAGACTTCCGACAGCGGAAAATAACTGGAAACAAATGACACCGCAAGCCTCCGCGCATTGAAGTTAAAAATATGATGAACAGTGAAAACGCCTCAAAAGACTGAAATCCTTGTATAAAAATATATTAAAGTAGTTTATGAAAAAAAAAAACTTTTTGGAAAACTTACCGATTCACACCATCCTTTTTGTTCAAATCAAATGGAATAGGCTAGGCCTATAAGCACATCTGCTATGATTCAAACCGATATTGTACTTTAAAAAGAAAACCATG